CCGGTCAGGGCACATGCTCGGGTTGCGGGCTGCAGCCAGCCGATCAATGACTCTCTCATCATTGATGTTTCTAGCTCTCTTTCTCCCTCTCCTTTCCTCTCTCTGAAATCAATAAAGATATATTTAAAAAAAAAAAAAAAAGGCATATGTAGCTGAGAGGCGGATATGAACAGTCACTACTGGCATGGCAACAGGGATATTTTGAAGTACACACCCTTTCAGTGAACTCAAAAGTGCTTCCTAGTACTTTTTTCTTCCCTGAGCAGATGACACACAAGACAAGAAACAGACTTCTGTAAAGTTCTCACATGTTTGCAGGCTAACATCAGGATACAAGCTTCCTAAGACTTCTCTACTCCAGACTCTTGAAGGTGTTGAGCACACGAATGTAGTAAGTGGGAGCAAGAGAGATAAAGTAGAATTGTAAGGGGAAGGACAAAAGGAGACAAAAGAAGACTCCACAAGCTCTTATTAGCCTTTATACTCAAAAGTGTCAGGCAGGATACAACACAGAATTAGCTATATAGCTTTACTCATATTTATTATTATCCCCAGTAGTTTTTCTCATGGAGTCAGGAAAGGGCTATCCAGAATGACGAAGTAAAGAGAATTAAGGGAGAGAGAGGAGAAGGGAAACAAAACATCACTTGACACAAAGATCCCATTAAACTCACTTTTCTTAAATATAAACTGATTAAATATCTGGGTTATTTTTCCAATGCTCCAGGAACTTGACATGCTATGCTAATCGTGTGCCTTTGAGAAAAAAATAATTTTTCTCAGAGCTTTTACACCTTATCTCCTTTACTACAGTCCATCTGGGCTTACTAGAAGACTCTTAATTTATCCTTAATTTCTTTTCTATTATAAACGTTGGGAGGAGTGAAGATGAAATGTTCATTGAGTACCTACTATATGCCATACACCCTACTAAGTATTTATATAGTATATTATCTCTATTATACCACTTTATAGATGGGGAAACTAAGGCTCAGTTTAAGTAACTAATGCCCAGGGTGAAGGAGTGAGTAAAGAGCAGACTTAATATATAAGTTTGAATCTACTCTGACACCAAGGATAGCTCCTGGTCTGGTAAAAAGTCTTACTGTTGGACGTATCTACCCTTAACAAATATAAGATGATATAAGAAGTGCTGAATATCAGAAAATAGGCTAGGCACCCTTCCTGATGCCTTCTATAATAAAACCATGAGATGGAAAGAGACTTTGACTTGGGGTGGTGAATAATACAGTATGTACACAGATGGTGTATTACAGAAATGTATAACTGAAACCTATATAATTTTATTAACCAATATCATCTCAATAAATTCAATAATAAAATAAAATAAAACCATGAAATCTGATCTCTTCCATAGACTCAGACAGTTAAATGGAAGAACTAGAAAGGCTAATCATGGTTTTCAGCTGTTTTATAATAATTTAGACCTAAAATTATCTACATTAACTTAGAAAATGAAAATACTATTGGGAAGAAGGAATACAAAGAAAAAAGGGCTTAGAACTTAATCAATAGGAGATCCATATGTCTTCACTCATAAAAATGGACAAAGACTCAGGAAATAATGGAAAAAACAACCCTTTAAATCATCACCAATTCCAGTGTCCAAGACCAATATAAGAATTATTTTATAAAATAATCCATTTTATACTGGAAAGCAAGAATTCTGCATTAAAATAGCCTACCAAGTTAGTTTCCTGTCTTATTCCTTCTAATCTAAAACAAAAATTAGTCACACTGGAAGTTGCTCCATGAGTTACACTCATATAGTTTATTACTATACTTTTTTTTTTTTATCCTCACCCAAGGATATTTTTTCCGTTGCTTTTCAAAGAGTAGAAGGCAGAGGGAGAAAGGGGTGGGGGGAGAGAGAGAGACAGAGAGAGAGAAGCATTAATGTGAGACACACACTGATTGGTTGCTTCCTGCAAGCACCCTTACCGGGGCCGGGGACCAAGCCTGCAATAAAGGTACGTGCCTTTGGCCAGAACTGAACCCGGAACCCTTCAGACCAATGCTCTAACCACTGAGCAAAACCAGCTAGGGCAGCCATTCTTTTAATATTATTAGGGAAGCAGATAGAAATAGTAGGCAAAATGAATGTAAAGCAGCAATGTTAAATATGAATGACATCTATGTAAATGACACTGAAAATAATAGCTACTAAATATTAACTTCCATCTGTAAGGCTAAATTTGAACATTAAAGTTGATGACACTGTACAGGCTATACATCTAAACTATTTTCATGCCAG